CACAAACACAAACACAAACACAAACACAAACACAAACACAAACACAAACACAAACACAAACACAAACACAAACACAAACACAAACACAACACAAACACAAACACAAACACAAACACAAACACAAACACAAACACAAACACAAACACAAACACAAACACAAACACAAACACAAACACAAACACAAACACAAACACAAACACAAACACAAACACAACCACAAACACAAACACAACCACAAACACAAACACAAACACAAACACAAACACAAACACAAACACAAACACAAACACAAACACAAACACAAACACAAACACAAAACACAAACACAAACACAAACACAAACACAAACACAAACACAAACACAAACACAAACACACACAACACAAACACAAACACAAACACAAACACAAACACAAACACAAACACAAACACAAACACAAACACAAACACAAACACAAACACAAACACAAACACAAACACAAACACAAACACAAACACAAACACAAACACAAACACAAACACAAACACAAACACAACACAAACACAAACACAAACACAAACACAAACACAAACACAAACACAAACACAAACACAAACACAAACACAAACACAAACACAAACACAAACACAAACACAAACACAAACACAAACAAACACAAACACAAACACAAACACAAACACAAACACACAAACACAAACACAAACACAAACACAAACACAAACACAAACACAAACACAAACACAAACACAAACACAAACACAAACACAAACACAAACACAAACACAAACACAAACACAAACACAAACACAAACACAAACACAAACACAAACACAAACGCAAACAAACGCAAACGCAAACGCAAACGCAAACGCAAACGCAAACGCAAACGCAAACGCAAACGCAAACGCAAACGCAAACGCAAACACAAACACAAACACAAACACAAACACAAACACAAACACAAACACAAACACAAACACAAACACAAACACAAACACAAACACAAACACAAACACAAACACAAACACAAACACAAACACAAACACAAACACAAACACAAACACAAACACAAACACAAACACAAACACAAACACAAACACAAACACAAACACAAACACAAACACAAACACAAACACAAACACAAACACAAACACAAACACAAACACAAACACAAACACAAACACAAACACAAACACAAACACAAACACAAACACACACACACACCACACACACACACAAAGCACACACACACACAAAACACACACACACACAAAACACACACACAAAACACACACACACACACACACACACGCACACACACACACACACACACACAGACCCACACACCCACACCCACACCCACACACACACACCACACACACGCACACACACGCACACACACAAGTTGACAATCTCACACAACAAACAGAAGCGCCCGCGCATGTATCGAGGCGGCGGCTGCCTAAGTGTACTTTGTGTGCTACTTTGGCACTGAAAATCGGCTTTTGCGCTGGGGCCGCAGAAGTGTACTTTGCATGGTGCTTTGGTACTGACTACTTACGACTTTCCAGCCGAGACTGGCGCGCGTACTTTGTGCATACTACGTCGTGCTGCAAACTTGCGACTTGTGTGCTTTGCGCGCTACTATTGTATTGAATGTTGTGAACACAGTCCTGCAAAAGGTCCATGATCAAGGTTGCGCAAGTCAATTTCTTTTCAAAGATGTCGTTTCTGGGAACAGGGAATTTCAGGCAGCCCCCTATGACAAATGCAAGGCCTGCGCACAAGTGGTTCTTTGTTTGTCAGGCATGCCGGCTGCAGAGCCAGCAGGCATGAGGAGCTGCGGTGCTGTGCAAGCACTTCGTTCATGTTTACGTGTTTTGTGCTGTGTGCCAGGATTCCTCTTCTGCTCACGACAGCTATGGTCTGCATTACTGCCACGTTGCTGCTAAGCTGCATTGATTCTGGTTCTGCAGCGCATTTGTGACAGGCTGCATTCGGTTTGGTTGCTTGTGCAGCTTTGGGCAAGGCTTCGTCAGATGTCGACCGAAGCATTGCATCAACCAAATAATGAGCTGTAAGTCCGTTTGTTTTAGACGCGCAGCTTTGAGGACAACAAGGTGGATCAAATGATATCAACATCAATGTTGACGCCAACTGCATGTGTTCTATTGTATTACGTTGTTAGTTATCAAGGCGTTGCCAGTTAGTGAGAGTGCTTGGACTTGTGGGCGGTTTGCTACTGGTGTGCAACAAATTCGGCGTGTCATCAGACGCAGTCAGCGGCTTACATTTGATCCCTGCAGTGTTGGCTATTCCACGCTGCGCTTCAACGGGAGGGCAAGCTTCGCTATGCGAAACTTCGACTGGCTTCCACCTGTACAGCAGTCTCATGTCCTAGACAGTTCCACTGCAACTGGCAGCTGAACTGCTACTCAGTGCAAGCAAGTGTCATCTAGGTGTGTAGATCTGTGTGAGGGAAGGAGGTATGTGGCAGCGTCTTTGCTACCCTTGTCGAACGCAGCATGTGTGCTGCGGATAAATTTCCGAGATTTCTGCTACGGCGTTGGCTCAAGTTTTCAGTCTTTTTCCCTGGTGTGATGTGCTGCTTGGGACTGAGAGATGTGGTTGTAAGAAGCTGTCAAGCTTCGTGCGCCGTGCTTGTTGGAAACTAGGCGACGAGTTGTCTTGGGAAACCCAGGAGCTGAAAGATGGCTTTTCTGGTTGCGGTTGGCGCTAGAAGGACAGCTGCTGCATTGTTGTGTGCAATGGACAGTTACCCCAGCTACTCATTTTGTCGACATCACGGAATTCGGAAGATCTTGTCTTGAATTCACAGGGCAGCATCGCGCCTCGCAAGCCTTCCTCGGGCACCGCTGCGGCTTGCTGGTGCTGGGCTGCCTTACGCTTTCGCCTCAAAGGGCAGTGGACGAGCGATTCTGAGCGATGGCGAGTGGATCATAAGCGGTGCAGGTCAGACATTTCTCTCGGGATAGTTGGGAGACTACCGATGATGTTGACTTGGACAGCGTAGCCTATGGCTTCATGGCGTCACAGGTGGAACTATGCACACCAAAGCGATATTCAAGCACTCGCGGCCAGGCGCTTTTCTCTGGCCTTGAGATCGGAGTCTTTGACAAGGCCCTTCGCTGGCTAGAGCGGGAAGTACCCTCATTTTATGCAAATGCCCCGCCAGAACAATTGCTGAAGCTGCAAACTAGCTTGGAAAAGAACGGAAAGCGGCATTAGCGCCCGACTTCGGGCGAAAATGCTGTGCAGCTCAGCACTGGCCACGAGTGATGCCATCCAAAGCACATCCAAAGATCCTTTGGGAGAAATGCAAGCAAAGTCATTTGGTGCAAAAAGGATCTCTCTTTCCATTGGGGTTGCCCTTTGAAGCCACTGGAACGAGTGCTATAAACATAGACTGAGCAGCTCTCACGTGTCTCCCGATTGCCTGGCACCAGAGAGAAGTTGCAACCAACTCCAACATGTACAAACAGCGTCTGCTGTGATTGCATGGACGGATCATGGAAAGGGTGAAGAAGGGCATACATTGGATCAGCAAGTCGCTGAGATCTCAGCATGCAAAAAACAAGCGTGCCGATCCAGCGCTGCCGAGCTACGCCACCGCGTTGGTTTTTCCGACACATGCGAGAAGCAATGCACCACACCACGCCCAATAGCCAATCAAGTCCCCCAGCCAATAGTCACGGGGAGAGAAAAGCACTAACCAGCACCAGTCGCCACTGAAGAACATTAGTAGATGGCAAATTACACAACCTATCAACCCAACCATTTGCAAACTAGACTTCCGCAACTAAAAGAAGCATGAGCGAGTAGACGTACCACCGTAGTGGGAACCTAGCACTAATACATGCCTGGTAGAGCAAAACGCCGTTTAAGATGGACTCCTTTACATTTTAGGGGGAGCGCTCACCCATCAATCCGCAAAGTTTAGTCTGGGGTCAACAGTACCGTTGCCGACAGCGTAAGTAGCCTCCAAGAGCTGCGCAAAGTTCCCTGCCAGAGCCTTAAGCGATGGTCGGGAGGCACCGACTAGCACTGCTGGCATCCCTCGCATCCCCAGCATCTCGAGCATCCGCAAGTAAATCACCCAACCCCGCTTTCTGTCGTACGCGTGCCCACCGAGAGCACGCAACCATGTCCGTGACATGTGTAATGTGAGCAACTGACAATTTTTCCGCGATAATGATTGTCCACAACACGGAAGTTTTGTTTGATGATAGACTCACATTTTTAAATGGCCCTTTGGGCAGGTAGCAGCTGCTGGAGAAGGTGGATGCAACATCGAAGCGCTGGAGAAGGCCGTTTGCGGGAGCAAGTTCTTGACTGATCATTGTCAAATGGTGAGGCTTGTGGAGTGGACGGTCCGAGATTGAAAACCTTGCTGACGGCATTGACTGCAGTGTGCCTTTCCTTGCAATGGTAGGCTCAGTGCTCCCAAATGGTTCGCAGCCGAGGAAATGCCTTCGTCGCAGCGAAGATGGCTTGTACAAGTTGTCGCCGAACACAGCAAAGTTCATGGTGGACAACTTACAGTGACTGCTTCATCATATTGCTACGCTTGGAATGCTTACGCTGGCTTGCTAAGAGGTCTCGGGATCCAAGCAGTACTATGGTGACTACTTGCAGTACCAGATTGGGCGGCAGGCCAAACTTCTGGATGCAAAGGCTGAAGGTAATCAATTGCATATCGGTTGCCATGCTTCACAACGCGCCAGAGACCTTCAAGGTGCATGATGGAACATTCTGTAATTCAAGTGTTCTGCCCAGTTCTACCATCGCATGGGTGCTCTTCCAGAAGTGATGAAGAGTGGGAAGGCTCCAAGTTATGCGCGCCCTTGGCGGCATTGAGCGCATGCCGCAACTGAAGTCTGATGCGCGCTTTGGCATAAAACGAATGGCAAAGGAGCTGACGCAGTTGACAGGTCGTGGTTTTCTGACCCGGAGGTGGCCAAGACCTACACGCAGGCCATCTTTGTCTAGCCTTCCACACCTCTTCCAGACCTTCTCTCCCGTCTCCCATCATGCTGGCAAGGCTTGTCTTTTGCGCTGCCGCTGGCTCAAAGCAGAATGGTGACCAGTCTTGCCACCGTGCCTGGGTCCTCGCCGGCAAGGAGATGGCGAGGCAATTGTACAACATGCAATCTTCTGCTCCTGAGCGGTACTTCCAGGCGTGTCCCGATGTTCGCTGCGTAACGCGGCCAGCCTTGGTATCATTATTTCGACACTGTGCGTGATGTTGCCAGCCACCCAGCTGTGCATGTTTTGCCGAAAGTTTCCAAGCACGTGTTTGGCACATGCTAGAATTGAAACCTTGAGGCCGAGTGCCGCTTTCCTTGGTAGGCTCCAACGAGCAGCTCGGATCGAACCGCTTTCAACTGTTTGTTGGCAAGCACTATGTGACTATGTTTTCTACACGTGGAATGCACTGGCAATGTTGCTTGATTGCATTCAGTAGTTGGTTTCACCACGGGCTATTCTTGCAGGTCTTCGGCAAACAAAGCTCTGCCTGTCACAACCTGCCGTTGTCAAAGTTGAAGCGGCAGGTTGCGGGAGGCAGCGTGTAATTCTTCAGTGTCTAGTGCAGCGCGGTCATGTCTCAAAGGCAAGATACCCATTGCCATCATCCTGCCGGGGTCCTTCTCGCCAGTCGCTTAGACTGACCGCTAAATGTGCAACAACATGAACTCATCGAGGCCACCCACGCTGCTCCATTTGAGGATGTTCGAAGAGGCCAAGCTTGTTTGATTAGCTGTTTGCAGAAACTTATTGTGGATAGAAGTGCAGGTGAAATGCAGCGACACATCAACGCCTCTACTGCAGGCCCGCGATGCTTTAGAACGGGTCGGAGCTTCTGCTTCCTCACCAGGAGAGCCGTGCAATTTTGCTTGCACATATCCGACTCTGGCGCAGGCAGTTTCGAAGTGATTGGCGGATACTTGTCACCAGTTCATGATGCATACGGGAAAGTGCAGAGCCCAGCCATCTGAATTTTTGGCATGTTGTTGTAATTTGCGACCGCAGCTACAGCTTGAATCCGTGCGTATACCAAGGCCACACTAGCTCCAGCACATCACCGCTTGAACATGTGAGTGTCCCGGCACATTCTGTGAAGGTTGCAGCTGCCAACTTAACTGAGGGTGGAGGCAGCTGTTTCAGATTCAGACTGGCTGATGTCTGATAGCCAAATCCTGAGGTGAAGTGTCCCATGTGTTGCGCTGCACGTGTATGTCCATGCTTTTTGTCATCCATGCCAACTCACGTGTCCCCATGACCGGTGGCAAGGTTGGGAATGTTTGTGCCAAGAGAATTGGACAACAACAGCGGAGGCGGACTGGGAAGCGATTCATGCATGCTACCGCAGCCATTTGACGCGTTTTGCATGATGTTTGACACGGACCGACGATACGCATGATAGATCATGTGATATACAACCGCCTTGAGCCTGCGATGAGGTTCTTACTCACTTTGGAAGGGAGATTTCAAAGGCCAGGAAGGGTGTCATAAGACATATCGCAGGTTTCTATTTCTGGAAGCATTGAGTCCAGGTTGCCGTCTCCATTGGCTCTGCACCACCACAAACGGGTCAGGTTCGGACAGTGTATTGTCTGCAAGCTACAGTCATCCTAGATTCATTGGGCGGAAGGAGGCAATGGACATGCTGTGTGATATTCTATGTCCTAGGTATTGCTCTGTGGTGGCGATGTCCTTGAATCTTTCAACGGCACAAAGCCAGATGGAGAGAAGTTGTGGGCGGATGAGGATCTTGAAGCTGCTGGGCTGCATATTATTTTATGATATTTTATGTGTAGTGACGCATCGAATGTGGCCACGTGTTGACATTGCAGGTCATTCTCGGTCGACATGGTGTGGTTTGTGTGGCGCGAGACGATGCAGATCTGGATACTTTTGTGCCCAGCTTGAATGTATCATGAGACGGGCAAATGACCATTATGTCAAAGAACTTCACATGACTCACAACATGACAATCACTGCTGCAGGCGAGTGAGTCGCCAGTACTTGCCAAGCATCTGGAGAATTTCACCCTTGCCCGGCCGCGTGTGCTCACAGGCACTGTTGTGAGTTGCCTGTGTGTGTGTGTGTGTGTGTGTATGTATGTGTGTCTGTGTGTGTGTGTGAGTGTGTGTCTGTGTGTGTTGACCTTGCCTCTCCGCTTTACAATAGTGCGGATACGTGTATGTGTGTAGCGTGGATTATTAGTGTCCACAGTGTGGATGCATGTCTGTGTATGTGTGTGTGTGGGTGTGTCAGTGTGTGTGTGTGTGGGTGTGTCAGTGTGTGTGCGTGCGTGCGTGCGTGCGTGCGTGCGTGCGTGCGTGCGTGTGTGTGTGTGTGTGTGTGTGTGTGTGTGTGTGTGTGTGTGTGTGTGTGTGTGTGTGCGTGTGTGTGTCCGCACAAGATGCAGATGCACAGAATAAGTGCAATCTAGCCCCATGGATATACAAACGCTGTAAGTGTGTACTTGACATACTGTATGAGCACGTGCGTTTTTGTGTGTGTGTGTGCGTGTGTTTGTGGGTCCGAGCATCCTGATTGATGGTAAAGCACTGGATTCCCGTTTGTTCTGCAGAAAGTGCACCAATACCCATTCTGGCAACCAGGACTGTTCTGTGGTTTGCAGGCATCAGCTCAACAGTGGTGCGACAGCATTTGGCAGCTGGTGAGAGCATTCGCTACCTGGTTCACGACAAGGCTGGAATTGTAAGACACTTCTGTCGTGACAATTCCGTGTCCGCATTGGCAATGCATAATCTCTGAAAACGTACGTTTGGCTCTTTGACCAAGCAACGTTGTAAACGCTTTGCGTTGTCTGTGGCCCAGTCCGAACTCTGCAGCGTTGCTGCTTGTGAGACCATAGGGCGAAGCCGGAAGTGTGGAATTCCGTTAACTTCTGCAGTCAGAACCCACATGGACTAGAGGTGACCAGAGCCGTGCACAAGCACCGCGCTTTGGGTGGGGTGTTCCTGACCTCGTGTCGGGGCAATGCCCAGGGAGCCCAGGTTCTGAGGCAGGCTGAAGCTGTCCGCAAGTGCCCACGTTTTGGTGCATTGCGCTGCGGCTGACCGGTTCAAGGCCTTGTGAGGCTCCGGAGTTGGCCCTGCCTTGTCTTTCCCGGTGTTCTACTCCTTGGCCTGCTGGGAGGTCTTAGTCTTGTCCCAACAGTGGATTCTGGAGACAGTCCAATGTCATCGTGCTGGCCTATCTGCTTTCCCGGTTCATGCTCATATGCAGGTCCTGAAGTTGAGGGCTGAGGCCTTGTGCTGTTCAGGAGCTTCTCTGTCGGCTCGCTATGCCCTGCTTGCTGTCCACATAAGTTCATTGATAGGTGCTCTCGGGTCTGTCAGATTTGGGCAATCAGGTCCTAACATTCCCAAGTTCTGAAACCGGTTGGCCAGAAGGCGCGAAAATTCGGAGCTGAAGGATGTCCGTGGAAGGGTGGGTTGGGGATTTGACCGCTTTTCGGACACAGTGGGCCGACGCAAATCGAGAATCGGAGAGAAGGTATTAACAGGTCTTTCCTTTTTTGGGCTAGTTGAGTGTTACAGTGCCTGAGTTTCCCCATATTTTGACAAACAAGGGGCATGTGTCAGAGTTACCTCCAATTTCTACTGCTCAATCGAAACGCACACTCCAAGCCAACTTTAACAATAGTGCAAAAGCCCATGCAAAAGACTAGCCCGTCCTTCAATTTATGGTCTTTCAGAACCTTTGCAGAATAACAAAAAATATGTTGAAACTCAAAAATACCCTATCAAGCAGAACACCTTGCAGTCTCGTTTTTAAGGTGCGATAAAATAATTCAAGCCATAAACCATGAAGTAGAATCTCGCTAGCGCGTATAATGCCCTCTTGATGATGGGAGCGCTGGCCCTGCACAAAAAGGATGATGGTGATGCAGGTCACGCAAACCTGAAAATGGGGGGAGGGTCTGGTGCCGGCTACGCAAAATGATTGTGATGTGATGCCACGCAAGGCTATGCGTGACCTCAAGCAAGCTTTCCACAACTTTCCTTTGGGAGAACAATGAAGGAAAGGCTGGTAATTTGGATGGAAGCCATCATCAATTCTGTGTACTTCTGATATTCTTGGACTTGACCAAAGGCTCTTGCCCATAAACTGACAAATTTCCGGAAACTCGCCTTTTTGCAATTGAACATTATAGTAGGGGTGACATTTTTCTCGGGCCGGCACATGTATTCCTGACCAGCGGTATTGGAGTTGGTACTCCTGACCATCCTGTCTCCGAAAGGAGCAAGGCAGTTGTTTTTGGCGCCACTCCCCCAACTCCCCCAACTCCCCCAACTCCCCCAACTCCCCCAACTCCCCCAACTCCCCCAACTCCCCCAACTCCCCCAACTCCCCCAACTCCCCCAACTCCCCCAACTCCCCCAACTCCCCCAACTCCCCCAACTCCCCCAACTCCCCCAACTCCCCCAACCCCCCAACTCCCCCAACTCCCCCAACTCCCCCAACTCCCCCAACTCCCCCAACTCCCCCAACTCCCCCAACTCCCCCAACTCCCCCAACTCCCCCAACTCCCCCAACTCCCCCAACTCCCCCAACTCCCCCAACTCCCCCAACTCCCCCAACTCCCCCAACTCCCCCAACTCAACTCCAAAAGTAATACACCCAAAGGAACATCCAAGCGACACCAATGACACACACACACACAAAGGGGCACCCAAAGGCACTCCCAAAGAAACATCCAAACGAGATGGTCAAAGAAACTCCAAGGTGACATCCTAATGGACACTGCACACTTTTCAAGGGTTCTAGACTCCTGAAACGCGGGTGCACAGTTTGAAGAGACGGCTAGCTAGCTAGCTAGCTAGATAGCTAGCTAGCTAGATAGATGGATAGATGATAGATAGACAGACAGATAGATAGATCAGCTAGTAGATAGCAAGAATAGCTAAATAGACTTAGATAGACAGACGGATAGCTTGATCGATTGATCGAAAAGGCACTCCCAAAGAAACATCCAAACGAGATGGTCAAAGAAACTCCAAGGTGACATCCTAATGGACACTGCACCCTTTTTAAGGGTTCTAGACTCCTGACACGCGGGTGCACAGTTTGAAGAGACGGCTAGCTAGCTAGCTAGCTAGATAGCTAGCTAGCTAGATAGATGGATCAGCTAGTAGATAGTAAGATTTGCATAATAGACTTAGATAGACAGACGGATAGCTTGATCAATTGATCGATCGATTAGTATAGATCTAGCTCCCTTCCTGCTCTTCATTCTTATGCCCATGGAGCGGGGTAATGTCAACATCCTCTTTGACAGCACACATCAGCTGGGGTGGAGTGGGACGCAATGTAACGTCCACTTTGAGGGCGCGCGTGGCAGAAAACTATTTATTGGCTTTGGGGTTGCGGCGGGGTTGTACTTCTAGCTACTCTCAATCGCTGGGGCGAGCGATGAAGAAAGGTGACCCCTTACAAGGTCTGCTGACTCACCAGGCCCGGTCGGGTAACGCTTTGTTGCGCTTGTCAGCAGGTTTCAATCAACTTTGGTTTGCTGATGATTCACAAAAAGACGAGTTCAATTGAAGAAACACGCCCCTTAGCGGGGTTGTGAAGTTCATATTGTCAAAGTCCAAAGATGGATGAAGTGAAGCGTGGAGCTGCTCGCAGGTGCGCCAGTACATTCTGGAGCATAGGCTCAGCGAGATTCCAAGCTGGCAGTGAATCAGTCAACGAGTGCATCTCGCTTTGCTAGCCCTATGGCAAGCCTTGACGTTCTGGTCCTCTTGGGCCCTGGAGGGTCGTGGCAAGTCAAGTGCTGAAATGGCAGGACCATTCGCTTGCTGTCTTGCATTTTGAGCGCACGGCGGCACAGAAAAGGGAGAATGGCTGTGCTGCGATGTTGCTTCCCCCTTGCCAAAAGCGACACAACGGATGCGGCAGTGTGTGCAAATCAAGGGTCCGCAAGAAAAGTGCTTTATTGGCGCAGGCTCAGCACAACGGATCCGTAGCAACCGCCAAGTGCACCTGGAGGAATACAGAATGACATGGCGCTCCGATTTGAGCAGGTACTTGGTGAAGAAGAAGCTGCAGTTGGGGGGAATTAGCGACATGCTGGATGTGGGAGGTTCTTCATCTGGTTGCATGAAGTGTTAGATATGGCCAGCATTTGGGCACAGGCGGATCTGGTGCATTCTCATACGTCTTCACCGAGGCTTTACGAAGCGCTTGCATTACGCAGATTTCATCCCAATGAGTTGAAATTAGACGTAGCCCTTTGACTGCCAGGCAACGCCAGGGCTCAAGTCAACAGTCTTGGAACTGCCTGAGGCTGGGTGTCTAGCCAACAGGGGGAGAGAGCAGAGCAAGAAAGACAGACAAAACAACAGGCGAAAGGGGAAAGAGAGAACGATCAACGATAGTGAAGAAAGGAGAGAAGATCGTGTCAGCAGAGCAAAGGCCAAGAGTGGTGGCTTGAATCACGTCTTGAAAGAATAGAAACAGAAAGAGTGAGCAAGAAAAATTGGATCAGATAAACATAGACGGGGATAGACACACTCGCACACTGAAAACTTGAAAGAGAGCGGAGCACAGAGCAAGCAAGAGGGGGAGAAAGAGAGAGAGAGAGAGAGAGAGAGAGTGCAAGCCATTACAGTACGGCACGCAGTTTGATTTGCTGGATGTGCTTATTAGCTGCTTGCAACCTGAAGGTTTGCCGAACAGGAGAGAGCATCAAGACCCAGCAGTCCCAGGACAGTTGTCAGAAGGCTTTACTTTGCATCAGAGGCACCGGCAAACTCTTCAGACAGTCTCAGGCATGTGTTCTTTGAACGGCTTCAACAGATTCGAGGCAGTCCAAATTCAACTATATTGGTATTGGAGGATATTCAGGACCGCGTCAACTTTGTCGAACTTGACGCTACAAGTCCAGACTGGCCGGTGCGGCACAAGTGTTTCTACGTGTTTTCAGCCTTACACATGGCACAGGTCAGCGACAGCAGTTTTGACATCGTGCTGATGGCGATTCACTCAGTACTAAATGCTTTGGCCAGCTTGTCATTTTCGTTTTCGTTATTCTTTTTTGAGTAGGAGACGCGTGATGATGTGACAAGCTGCCAGTCCTACATCAGCGGCTCTGTGCCGGAGAGTGTCATTCTGCCTTTGTACAAGAATGCCTTCAAGGTGCACGGTGTGAGAAGATTCAATGCTGTTCGCTACTGCAAGCTTCGCGGAGCAACGCACTGTCAAATCAACAACATGCTGCCCAGTACGCAGTATCGCGGGAATGGCAACAACTGTTCCGTGCTCTAGTTGCTTTGACATATGCCACAATGCACCTTTGCAGCTGTTTTTGCTCAGATCAACACGCCTTCTGCCATCAGCTAAGCTTGTCAGCATGCAAATCTTAGAGTTGCTCTACTTTTCATGACTTGCAATTGGGCCATGCATTTCAACCTGTTCTGCCCACGCAACACCCCCACAAAGCACGGCAACGAGCTAGTGCTTGGGCGGCTGAGAGATTGCTTGCGAAGGCACGAGCTTGGACGTGGGCAAGCGAGTGCCTGCGATGTTTTCGGAGAATCACAGGTGTGCAATGGCCATGTCGCCGATCATGGTGTCATGCTCTCAGATACTTCTTTGGGCGCCATGCGATGGCCGATGCCCTGCAGGACGTCGCCCCAATTTGTGGTGACAGGCACCCAGGCACGACAGCTTCGAATCATATGCCGAGACACGTTCACAGTGCAGGCGCAGCCTCTCAAGCCATGGAATGTCCAGCGGGAGCCTGGACATAGGCACTCAATGATCTTTTGAGGCTGAGAGAGTGCTGTTTCAGCAGGACACGCAGCTGTGGCGAGGCACCACTGGCTGATTGTCACTGTTTGGCAGCTCGTCTTTTTCAGGGATGTGATTTCCTTGAGCCGACTTGTTTGCTTGTGAAGTCAAACAGCAAGCCGTTGTGCGTCCGTGCCAGACTGAAACCTTGCGCCTGAGTGCAAGCTTGGTCGCCTGCATTGCCGCTGTAGCTCGCGGTCATAGAAGGCTGGTTTGGCTGGTGTACTGAAAGAGATATTCAGACCCTAATCGTTGCCTGGCAGCGGCAGCGGTTCCAGGCAGCCACGTGGTGGAAATCAACGGTGCCACCAGGCGCCTCGTGGGGGATCAGACCCTGCAAGAAATTGTTTGCAGCGGGCATCGCTGCATTGGAGGTTTCCTTAGCTGCCGCGGGGAGTACGATCGAGACTCTGTCCTCCTGACATGCTTGGCAGAACTGGAGATCCAAGATTTGCCGTCGGGTCAGGGAGCAGGCAGATCTATCTGAGGAAGAGCTGTCTGCCACCAAGAAACGGCTCTTTGCTTTTGCTGTCTGTCAGTTTGTTTAATGAGTTGTGATGCCGGAGCAAAGTGCGTTGGGTGAAAGCTTGTTAGGGTCTTGGTACCCTTGCGCTGTGCACAGGCTCGCCCTATTCAAAGAAGCATCGAAGGGGAAGGATGCAGTGACCTTCGACCAAGCAGCAGGCTGTGGCCTTGAACCCGTGGTGGCATGGCAAGAACCAAGAACCGATGAGGCTTGGAGGGTGTGGATGCTGTGCTAGAAGAAGGAGCAGCTAACATAGAGGAGCTCAAGGTTATTTGGGGGAATGCCGACGAGCCGCTAGATTTTGATGGATTTTGCGGGCCTCTCAGAACAGATGCCAGATTTGATATCTGATATTATCAGTACCTAGTGTGGCATTTCGTTGCGCAGTGTTGCACAGGCTGGCCTTGCTTGACAGTAGATTGATCTGCTGCTCAGCTGCTTCATATTGTCTCTTCCCACTGTTGGTCTGCCTATTCAAGGCAAGCTCTGAGCCTGTTGCCACGCTCCAGTTTCCTTCCGCGTTCTGCCATTGTTCTGCTCTTGGTATTGGGCTTTTTACACAGAACCCCCTTCACGTGCCCGCCTTCTCCTCACACATCCCAGGGAAGTCCTGCCCGGCAAGCCTTGTTTTTGAGGTGGATGGTACAATGATGTGTTGAAATTGTACGTGGGCCTGGCATGCCTTGCATGCATACAAGCAAGACTACAAGTGCTCGATGCCAGGATGCATTCCTGTGGCAAGATGCAGTGGCCCCACCTTCAGAATTGCTGGCAGAAGAGCTGGGTGCAGAGGACAGGCTTGACATGAGCAAATCGCAAAACACAACTTGCCCTCTCAGACAAACATAGATGATGCTTGCGGTCTTCCAGTCTGGAGCAATTCAGAGTGGCTCACTGTATGACTCTGCACAGATTGCCTTGTGGTCTGGGCTTATGTGAGTGCGCCTGAGTGTGCCTATGTAAAACGGTACAGCTGGCATTGGAGGACCTGCGCGGGTTGAGTGACGAGCCACACCGGCATGATTCGCATTCGAACAAATGGCCGCTTGCGACTGTCGCTGTCCCAGGCAGCTGCTCGAGGACGCTCCAGCCATCGGGGTGAAAGTGCAGGATCTCAACACCTCGCCCTTGAAACCAGCTCAACAGATGAAATATGGGACATTGGCCTTCCCGGCATGATTCATTGAGCTTTGGTGATGCTAAGAAAGCATGAACATTGCAGCAAGACCAAGATATGTTCGCCTGTGCCAGACCGAAAAAGTGCCGGAATACATTGAACCACCATGGAAGTTGGCGGAGAAGGAGGTTGCAAGGCGACTAGGCAAAGCGCCACCAGAAGACGAGGACGAGTTCGGCAACTGATCTGACTCACAGATTGCTTGTAGAGTGCCGCTCCTTTTGAGTGGAATGCGCCCAGCCAAGAACTGAGGCAGCTACGAGCAGGAAGCAAAACCAGGCGAAGGTGGACTCGCCACGCCGCCAGGAACTCAGTTTGTGGCCGGCAGCTCTTTGGCCCATGGTTTCTATTTTGTGTTTGTGACCAACGCATTGATTTGGGCCAGCAAAACAGCGTGCTTGACCTGTCATTACACAGGTCTGCTGGTGGGAGAAGACAAAACGTGGAGATCACCCAATTGTTCAGACAGGCACGGCTGTAAGACATTTTGACGAATGACAGTAAGAGCTGCCAGGCCTGTGATGAAAACAATCTCCTCTCGTTTGAAGACATGAAGGAAATATCTGAGATTGATGACCTCCTATCCTCAGAGGACCAAAGACTTGAGTGGAGGGCTGTCAAAGGCACCATGCTTGCCGAAGGATTTGGCGGAGGAAGAGCTTCAGGACATGTGGGATGGCTTGCCCAAAAAAAAGGCAGGGCAAGCTGTTTAAACAGCATTGGTTGGTTTGTTGCGTCAAAGTATTGCTGAACTCGGCTTGAACTTGGCAATCAGGGCGAGACTATCGATGTGCTGGCATTCAGAGACTTGTTGGCAAAGGCCAGCAATTTGACTTGAGCCGTGATGATGTTGGCGTTGTCTTAGCTGGTTTGGGTGCTCAATGTCCAACACGGGACGCATTCTTAGCATGATGGCCCATGCAGACTCTGCTGTGCAGACAGTGCAACTGTCACAGCAAGCCACAGTAGATCCTTACTTCAGCATTGCATGCTTGTAGATTGACGAGCTCTTTGAGTACGTGGAAGAAGAGGAGGAGGAGGAAGATCCCATCCAGGCCGCACCTCCCTGCTATGTGCCACAAACATTGCTTTCTGAAGCCTCCGTAAATTTACATGCGACATAAACCTTCTCAGGACGCCTCAAGTTTTGGAGCCGCAAAGAGCTGTACAAGGGAGCTAAAGCAGCCGTAGGGAACGATTGCCTGATTTGATTCTGGCCGAGGGATGGGCGGGCTCCTTGGGCCTTGCCAGGGCTATTCGCATGGCAAACTGGGTCGTCAGAGTGCCGGGCGGCATAGGTATTATCGGCGTCAAATTGTTCACGTAGCTCAAAGCAAGCAAGCAGCACTCTGACGGCTGCTCAACCGGAGGACACAGCGACTGTTTTTCCTCAACTTTGATTAGGGGTGGACCAAATTGAACGGGGGCAGCCAAACCTCCAGGCGTGATTTGAGGAGTTTGAGGTTTCCCGAGGGTTCCGGAAGGTTCCGAGGCTGTTTGTGCGACCGAACATTGGGAGGTACTTTGGTCAGGGGGGTTCTGGAGGACTCCTGTGGTGTTTGGATAAAGTAACTTGAAGGTTCCGGAAGATGTCGGAGGGTTGCTGAAATTTGCGATGCTACTTGGGTTGGGCCCTGAATGTTTGCATCTTCGGACTGCGAATATTTTTGATTATTTAGGCCCAGACAAATTTGTGAGGGCTTCGAATGTTTGTGATTTTTGCACCCTGGAGCTCTCTAGACATGCGGAACAAACACCAAGTGCGTGATGTTTCAACCTGCTGCTGGCGATCATCGATTATTTCACCAAGACACGACATTGAAAGTGAGACAAATACCTACTGGGAATGGTCAACAAAGGTACCCAATGATGACCATTGGAAGCACATAAGTGATGACCAGTTCATGAACCTGTTTGTGACCATTCGGAGTGGAAGTCACGTTGGATGGTCAGTTGTGCTTGCCACTTTGTCAGGCGCTGATGCAGTTCGAAGGTGGCGGCATACAAAAAGCGAAGAAGCGCAGTCTCCTTACAGCATGGGCCTGAGATTTTAGTTGCTTCATGGAGTTGGAAGCCTACTTTTCTGCCAAGGTCAAGCAAGATTTGCTGGACGCGCTTGGCAGACTAGAGGCAGTGAGCCGGTTACCACGACTTGAAATCGAGAGTCCGAGAGGTGAAGACTTAGGGATCCGGTGGGATGGTTGTTGCAAGGCCCAGCAGGACAAGCCAGCTGGCCTCGGTGGCTCAGAAGAAGCCGACGGGGAGCGCTCAAGCCGAGAGTGGCAAAGTGTGATCTCCGAATCTGGCAGGAAGTGATTAAACTTGCGGGGGAGTTGGAGGATATTTGGAGAGACCAGGTACGCACAAAGAAATGACCGACCGGCCTTCGCAACAGGTTTCATTGCTGGGAAACTTAGGTCGGGGACTTCTCTGAGTTTGATGGGAGCAAGCTGGCTGGCCTGTGGGAGCTGGTGTACTCGACATCAGTGAAGTTTCTGGGCAAGTATGATTAGCGCGTACTCATCCACGGTCTGAAGCATGAATTTGGCAGGTTCCGCAGATGGGAATCAGTATTGAATGGGGTTAGAGATATCAAGGATGGCAAGTTCGAGGCCCTTGCATGAGACATCATTGACAGAGTGGATGTTTTGCGTGTTCAGACTGCAAGGAAGTGTGTTTGCCGTGCATGTGCGTTTGCGCCTTCATCAGGCGCTGATCCAGAACTTTTCCATATGAGTCTCGACCAAACCGAAGCGTGATTCTTCTTGTGAAGAACTTGCGCTTTCGGCCAATCAGAAAGTACCCAGGCGAAGACGACGATTACAACGAGTATGATATGGAGGAAGTATTTAAGGCAGAGATACTTTAGTCAATCTGCATCTAGGTCTGAACTCCACGCAGTAAATGCAACCAACAAGATGACAAACTTTTGTCAGATCTGGCACGTGACAAACATATTTTGTCCTGAGGTGCCAGTTGGTGAAGATGGGAAGGAGGAAATGGAGCTGTCCATGCGGGGCCAGGTCAGTGCCGTTGATGTGTTTTGCAATAGAGGGAAGCGATTCAAATCAGCAGGTTTAGAAACTGGTTGTTGCGGGGCAGGGCTCTTGGAAGCTGGGAATCCAGTCCAATGTCGTGACGGGAGAGGAGGACGCAAGCTGATCCGTGAGATCCATGATTCTATGTACTTGAGTTGAAAGAGTTGAAAGCTCTCTTGGCTCTTGGCATTCCCAGCAGGATTTAGTCCTCAAGCTTGAAATCACCGGCGTCGAGTTCGATCACCTGACATGTTTACGCCCGTGACAGACTAGCGCACTGTTTACACGGACTTTTCATGCTCTTGCCTTCAAACACAATACCTTCACCACAAGCGCAGTATTTGTCAGGACACGCCCGATGATGCCGTCGACAATTGTGGACCAAAAACACTGATGAGCCCCATGTGTAGGAGACCCGTGGCAGTCGATGGCTCGAGTGTTTGCTTTTCGTTGCAGGACTTTCAGCTATGGCTTTCTCAGCTTCACGGATGATGATCTTCGAGTAGTGCCCTTATCGGCCTCTTAGCATCTCCGCAGACTATGGCTTTTCAGGTCATCATTTTGTTTTGTGATGATTGTGAAGGTCATGCGCACAAGCCTCACTGGACGATCATTGTACATTTTTCAGCGAATTCCAGACGACGAGAAGGCCACTTGGCTTTCGGCTCGCATTCTTCCCTGGGGAACATGCTGCCATGTGGCTTTTGCAGAAGCCTGCTTGACGGCCATGCAGGCAGACTAAGCTCCAAAGTCAGAGCAACTCGCTAGGCGCTTGTTTGTCTCGTTTGTGCCCACCGCCACCGCCACCCTGCTGTGCACAATTGACATTGGTTGGCAGGAGCTGTGCCAGATCGCCTGAGAGGGACATTGTGTTGGAGTGGTTTCGTGCTGACTAGCTATTGACAAAAGCTATGGATTGAAAAGGCGGCTCCAGGTGGCACCTTGCATGCTGCAGTATTGCAGGCACTTGCTTGCTGGCATAGCAGGCAATTTAGCCACTGCGTTCTGCTTTTGCGTGCTTGTTCATTAATCTGGTGCAGGCCTTGCGACCAGGGGGACGTCTTTTGGTTCATGACTTCATGGTCAACATCTCAGTATCCAAGGTGTCATGCCAGCTTTGTGTGTACAGGGGAATGCTTGCCGGCTTTCTGAGTGGCATGTGCTATTGGTTGCTTTGCATTGGATGGATGCAATTGACATTGGGCCTCATGGTACTGGCGATCTGTCGCCGCATTGCATCCGATTCAGGTTAATGACAGCCTGGATGGTCCTGCGCTGGGAGCGCTTTGGGGTGCCTATTCTGCATTTGTCTCCGCTTTGCACGACGTAGATGCTTGATTTTGCCACGGTGCTCATCAATAATTTATGGGCTTCACCCCGCACTAGCTGAGAAAGACAGAGAAAGACAGAAACAGACAACGACAAATAGACACAGACAGAGAGCGGCAGGGACGGAGAGACACAGAGGCACACCAAGAAGCACCCTGGCCAGCACCCTGACCAGCCAAGCACCGCCAGAAACCACCACAGCACCTTGTGCACACTAAACAGCACCCTGACCAGCAACGCACGTGCCTGCGCTCGCACACACGAAAACGCCCACGCGCACACCAAAACACGCATACGCACTCGAAAACGTGCACGCGCATGCGCACGTGCACGCGCATGCGCACGCCCACGCACATGCACACGAACACCACTCGCACAAGCGTACAAGCAACTGCACAACCACACGCACGCAAAGACACAAATGCACAACCGCGCAAAAGCACAACTGCACAAGCGCGCCAGCGCACAAGCACACAAGAATGCAAGCACACAAGCACACAAGCAAACAAGAACAGAAGCACAGAAGCACAGAAGCACAGAAGCGCAGAAGCATACAAGCATACAAGCGTACAAGCACACAAGCACACAAGCACACAAGCACACAAGCACACAAGCACACAAGCACACAAGCACACAAGCACACAAGCACACAAGCACACAAGCACACAACCACAAACACACAACCACACAAACACACAAGGACACAACCACAAACACACGCACGCACACAAACACACACATACAAACCTACGAAATGCACAAACGTGCAAACACACACACACAAACACACACACACACACACACACACACACACACACACACACACACACACACACACACACACACACACACACACACACACACACACACACACACACACACACACACACACACACACACACACACACACACACACACCCACACACACTCACACACACACACACACACACAC